CTATCTACAAAGCTTGACTTGTCGCAAAATGTTTTTTCGACAAGTTCAAGGGGTTGACTACGATGAGACTTTCTCAACCGTAGCGATGCTTAAGTCCGTCAAAATCATGTTAGCAATTGCCACATTTTATGAAATTGGGCAAATGGATGTCAAAACTGCATTACTTAAATGGATATCTCTAAAAGAAGAGTTCTATATGATGCAACCAGAAGGTTTTGTCGACCCTAAAGGTGCTAACAAGGTGTGCAAGCTCTAGCGATCCATCTATGGACTGGTGAAAGCATCTCGGAGTTGGAATATATGCTTTGATGAGGTGATCAAAGCATATGGTTTTATACAGACCTAAAGTGAAGGCTGTATTTATAAGAAAGTGAGTGGGAGCTCTATAGCATTTATGATATTATATGTAGATGACATATTGTTGATTGGAAATGATATAGAATTTCTGAATAGCATAATAAGATACTTGAATAAGAGTTTTTCAATAAAAGACCTTGGTAAAGCTACTTATGTATTAGGCATCAAGATCTATAGAGATAGATCGAGATGCTTAATAGGACTTTCACGAAGCACACACCTTGAAAAGATTTTGAAGGAGTTCAAAATGGATCAGTCAAAGAAGGAGTTCTAGCATGTATTGTAAAGTGTGAAGTTGAGTAAGACTCAAAACCCGACCACGGCAGAAGATAGAAAGAGAATGAAAGTCATTCCATATGCCTCAGCAATAGGTTCTATAAAGTATGCCATGTTGTGTACTAGACCTGTTGTGTGCCTTGCTATGAGTTTGGCAAGGGGGTACAATAGTGATCCAGAATTAGATCACTAGATAGTGGTCAAAATTATCCTTAGAGGACTAAGGGAATGTTTCTCGGTTATGGAGGTGATAAAGGTTTCATCATAAAGGGTTACGATGATGCAAGATTTAACACTAATCTAGATGACTCTAAGTCTCAATCTGGATACGTATTGAAAGTGGGAGCAATTAGCTAGAGTATCTCCATGTAGAGCATTGTAGACATAGGAATTTGCAAAATACATACGGATCTGAATGTGGCAGACCCGTTGACTAAACTTCTCTCACAAGCAAAACATGATCACACCTTAGTACTCTTTGGGTGTTAATCACATAGCAACGCGAACTAGATTATTGACTCCAGTAAACCCTTTGGGTGTTGGTCACATGGCGATGTGAACTATGGGTGTTAATCACATAAAGATGTAAACTATTAGTGTTAAATCACATGGCGATGTGAACTAGATTATTGACTTTAGTGCAAGTGGGAGACTGAAGGAAATATGCCCTAGAGGCAATAATAAAGTTGTTATTTTATATTTCCTTATTTAATAATAAATGTGTATTATTCATGCTAGAATTGTATTAACTGGGAACTTGATACATGCGTGAATACATAGACAAAATGCTATGTCCCTAGTAACCCTCTACTAGACTAGCTCGTTAATCAAAGATGGTTAATTTTCCTAACCATAGACATGTGTTGTCATTTGATGAACTGGATCACATCATTATTAGAATTATGTGATGGACAAGACCCATTCGTTAGCTTAGCATTATGATCGTTCAGTTTTATTGCTATTGCTTTCTTCATGTCAAATACATATTCCTCCGACTATGAGATTATGCAACTCCCGAATACCAGAGGAATGCCTTGTGTGCTATCAAATGTCACAACGCAACTGGGTGATTATAAAGATGCTCTATAGGTATCTCCGAAGGTGTTTTTTGGGTTGGCATAGATCAAGATTAGGATTTGTCACTCCGAGTATCGGAGAGGTATCTCTGGGTCCTCTCGGTAATGCACATCATAAGAAGCCTTGCAATCAAAGTGACTAATGAGTTAGTTACAGGATGATGCATTACGAAACGAGTAAATAGACTTGTCGGTAACGAGATTGAACTAGGTATAAAGATACTAACGATCGAATCTCGGGTAAGTAACATACCGATGACAAAGGGAATAACTTACGTTGTCATAACGGTTCGACCGATAAAGATCTTCGTAGAATATGTGGGAGCCAATATGAGCATCCAGGTTCCGCTATTGGTTATTGACCGGAGAGGTGTCTCGATCATGTCTACATAGTTCTCGAACTCGTAGGGTCCACACGCTTAACGTTCGACGACGATTTTGCATTATATGAGTTGTGTGATTTGGTGAACGAATGTTGTTCGGAGTTCCGGATGAGATCACGGACATGATGAGGAGTCTCGAAATGGTCGAGAGGTAAAGATTGATATATGAGACGATAGTATTCGGACACCGGAAGTGTTCCGGAGGGTACCGGGTACATATCGGGTCACCGGAAGGGGTTCCGGGCACCCCCCCCCCCTCCCGACAAAGATACGAGCCTAATGGGCCAAGAGGGGAAACACAACAGCCAGCAGGGGCTGTTGCGCCCCGCATATGGGTCGAACCAGAGGTGGAAGGAAAGAGGGGAAGAGAGAAGGAAGGGGAGGGATTCAGCCTCCCCCTTCCTCCCCCCTCCGGAAAATATGGTAAGGGGGGCGAATTGGACTAGGCCCCCAAGTAGGATTCCTCCTACTTGGGGCGCCCCTAGGCTGTTCCCTTCCCCCTCCCACCTATATATACGTGGGGAGGGGGCGCCTAGAACACACATCAACTATTGTTAGTCGTGTGCAGCATCCCCCTCCACAGTTTACGCCTCCGGTCATATTCTCGTAGTTCTTAGGTGAAGCAATGCGCGGATCACTTCACCATAATCGTCACCACTCCGTCGTGCTGAAGGAACTCATCTACTTCATCGACACTCTGCTGGATCAAGAGTTCGAGGGACGTCATCGAGCTGAACGTGTGCAAAACTCGGAGGTGTCGTATGTTCGGTACTTGATCGGTCGGAGCTAGAATAAGTTCGACTACATCAACCGCGTTATCTAATGCTTCCGCTTTCGGTCTACGAGAGTACGTAGACACACTCTCGCCCTCTCGTTGCTATGCATCTCCTAGATAGATCTTACGTGAGCGTAGGAATTTTTTTGAAATTGTATGCTACGTTTCCCTACATAGGGGTCTTGGTTAGTGACATCTATCCTTCGTCTTGAACTTCTCGGCGCGAAAGCGTTGAACTACTTTATTTTTGGTAGGCATATAGTTTCCTTTAAGGAAACCACGGGCGACACGTCCAAGGGATTTGGCCGCATGGCCCCCTCCCACCACACGAGAAAATATGACCCAAGATGTAGTATGCACGACATGGGAACACGTGAACACACTTCCCCTTTACATCCCCATCAGTATTCGCCATGAGGTCGTGGGCGAATTACCTAAGTTTCTTGTGACTACCGTTGCCTTGCGGTTATCAAATAGTTGTAATTTTCTAAGGGTTGTCGATTCAAACTTCAAAATAAAAAAAAGTCAAGCAAGCCAAAACAAAGTACCAAGAATCGTAGACATAACAAAGAAGTTGTTATCTACGACCCTTTTGTTCCTTTTCTTGCCACAAATTCAGATACATGGTTGCCAAACAAGTTCTATCCGAAATAGGTTTGAGCCCAAAGTCAATTAGAAATCTACCTTAAGACATGTTTTTTGAATGTCCGCAAAAGCATATGTATTACTATGTATTACCCATTAAGGAATGATACAAATATGGAAAGGATACCACCATGAACAATGGTGTAACAAAAAAGGATAAGGAACTAAAGTTCCATCACTTCATTGCGAAAGCCAAAACCTTTAACTTTGTCGCTCCCCCCCCCCCCGGCCCCCAACACTAACACTCATGTGACAACGACCGCAACATTGGACCCTTTGATCCGCACAAAGACAATGCCATAGTCTCAAGTCATTGAAAATAATAGTTCATTGTGAGGTGCGGGTCCACGAATACAAATGAAGAAATATCGACGTCAGCATGAGCTTGTTGTGATACAGATCCAACATTAACGCACCACACGGACATGAAGGAGGACGACCATACACCACCAACAGTTCACGAACAACTTTGTTCTTAGACGCGTCGCCATATAGTCGATGACGCCATAAAACACACCACTTGAGCGTGAGCTTGCCACCGGTGCAGAAACCACCGGGTCAAGGGAGTGAAAATAAACGGTGACGCAAGTTGTACACATGTGTTCAGTTTCGTGACGAATGGGTGCCCGTGGTAATGCCAGTAAAAAGAAAAAAAATCATATGTGTAGAAAAAAAACGAATGTAACGTATGTCAGACTGTAATTCCTACGCCACGGATACCAAGGGCACTCATCCCCCCACGAAAATGAACACGGGTGTACAACGGGCACTCAGGTTTCATATCCCAAAATTTCAGATTTTTTAAAAAATTCCTGATATTTTTAATCCTATTTTTATACAGGGGGTGTGTGGCACCCTAGAGCTGCAATCCATTTTCCAAGTTAGAGCACGTATAATAAGCCTATTTAGATTCGACCCATCACCTGCCTGCCAGACCAAGATCCAAGGTAGGTGCAGATTCGATCTAAGAGGGTGGGAGGAGAGGAGAGGAGAGAGGCGGCTGGTTTTGACCCGCCCCGGGACGTCGCCAGCAATTCCGCGAGGCGAACCGCGGCAGCCGACCAAACACGGAGGCGATCGATTCGGGCAGCAGGGGGCGAACCCCGAGCCATCGCCACCAGCACGGCTGCGTCCTCCGAGACATGAATGCGGGGGGCCGCGAATTTCAACTCTGCATCGACCCACCCATCCGCCCCAATGGCGACCGACCCACTATTTTAAGAAGGAGCGAAAATGTCATCAACTTCAACTTGCATCTGTAGCTGTAAACTGACTCTCATATGTACAGTTGAGCTCGACGGGTGCCGTTGCAGCTACTCCGTCCACCACAATCCATCTACTTTTCGCCTACATTTTTCATGAAACCATGATTCGTTGCGGCCAAGGGGGAGAAGAAGAAGCTTCGCTTCGCAAGCTTCGCCGCCTTTCTCTTCTCAAGTCGGGGTCCGGTTTGCGCGACAAAGTACGGTTCCGGGTTCAGGCATGCCCCTAAACCTGCAGAGAGAGTGCATGAGCGCTCTGCTGAAAATAGATTGCAAGTAATGGATAATGCAACTCAACAGAGAGAGAATGACAGTAGGATGGCAGTAGAACAGTTTCAGTAACTCCAGGTTCAGGTGGGGATGGGAGCAATACCTGTCTTCGCCTCCGGTGTTGAAAGGCATAGCAGAAGCGCGCTATGACGTAACACGGAAGGAAGAATCCCACGAACTGAAGAATTGCCTGAAATGAAGGAAATGTTCAGTTAGTTTAAGTAATGTGAAACCATAATGCCGAGACCGCGTAAAGGTGAATATTGAGATAGCAAAGTAGGTCATATGGACTCACGCTGAACAGAACCGTCGCATCTTGTAGCATGCTAACATCTCGCACGATCACGGTTACATGGCGCACGAGCAGAAGGAACATCAACTGCAGCAAAAATCGACATCATTATCCACTCAGAACTGTAACAAAGATAGGCTTACTGAGAAAAAGGGTTTTGTAACATACAATTAGAGCAATAGACCGGCAGCATGTGGCGCCACTCGAATTTGAGGTCATGCAGTCATCAAATTCAGCGTTCAGCAGCTGCTGCTCCGCGATGGCGATCGCCAGGAAATGGGAATCATGGGGATCGATTCGTCCAACCCAGCTTTGCCTGGTTACAAACAAACAGCCATTACTTCAGAACATGCACGGCAGCATTCTTCAGTTGACAGAACATAAATGATTTCCACAATTTCACAAGACTATGAAACATGGCTTCAGTAAGTACCTAAGATCCATGCCCATTTCATCTGAACAGCACTTGGTTGGAGGGAGAACATAGTTTGGAGAGTAAACCTGTAGCAAAAACAAACATAAGCGGACTCTGAAAGACTCTGCTGACAAATAGTACAGAACATGGTGAAAACCATTAACATTTTATTTTTCCTCTGCCATGCAGTTGGCCCGAATTGGACTGCCCATAATTCATAAACTGAACTACAGCGCTACCTACATCAGGCACCAAGGTTCTTTAACAACAATGAGAAACAATTAATTAACATGCACCTAGAATTTAGAAATGCAATGCAATATCAGTATAGTACATTACTCTACAGTGGTAGTCTTTCTGGTAACGGGAAAACCAGAAATACCCACCTGGTTGCAGATTTCACATGTGATGTTCCCCTTCTTGTCGCACCACCTCTGTATGCACTTCCTGTGCGCGAACTGCATCCAACCAACGCCGGTTGACCAGCACCACACGGTTAGCATTTTTGTTTGTTCATATCATAAGATAATCTCAGGTCACATGTCACTTTGTTCAGGAGATAATCAATCCCAGGTCACATGTGAGACGGCTTGAAGGAAAAACAGCCAATTATCTGACAACTGGAAAGATGATGCAATGATTTGGATGGATAAACATGGACCGGTCACTGCTAATTCGACTGTTTGCTCGTGTCTGCAGAAAGGAACAACCCGAGACCGCACTGTTTTGTTTTGGACTCTGTAATAACAGAGTATGTTTCCTTGCGCATTAAGAACAATCATTTGGCAATCTGAACAGAGCTTTGGCTGCTCCTAATCATCACACTAAGCTCCAGTCTAGAGAAAGATTCCAACAACAGAAAATACTGCCCCAAAAAGATGAAGCAAAAATATTACGTACAATAGCATTACCAAGCAGCAGGGCAAATTTCAGCAAAAAGAACGACAAGAAAGGAAACAGAGGACTGCAAGTGCAGAGCACAGACCACTGCTGCCCGAAGAAAAACATCAGAGAACGGATGGAACCAAGAATCTAAGATAAAACATCTAGAAATCTGCCCATCACTTTGAAGAACATAACGAATAAACATGAGATTTCCACTTGGCCTCCACAGGCCGCTACACTGACGCGCCACAGCTCCTTGACAATCAAGAACAGAAGCGTCCTCCCAGAGAGATTGGGGAAGAAAGAGACGGAGAGGGAGAAAGACAGAGAGGGGGTCACCTTGAGCGTGCCAGTGCAGGCGCAGGGGGAGTCCATGGCGGCCTCCTCCCCCTCCTCCTGGCATATCCGGCACTCTATCGCGCCCTTGCCGTCCACCCCGACCACCACCTCCACCTGCCCTTCGCCGCCGGCAACCTTCTCCACGCGCGCCATCCCTCTCTCCCCCTCTCCCTCGCTCGCTGAGCAGCTCGCTCGCGTCCCTGGAGCAGAGCAGAGCAGAGCAGGTGAGGAATGAGCCAAAAGGCGGGGCCTTTTTCTAAGCTCCGTCCCAGGACAACAACTCCAAGGAACAAGAGAGAGAGAGAGGGAGAGGGGGGACGGGAGAAGAATACCAAGCGAGGAGTATACTACTCCCACTTCTCTCTCTCCTCCGCTGCTAGCGTAGGAGTATTCTAGCGCTCATATTTTTGTGGGGATTTTACTCCTCCTCCTCCTACTGCTGCTTAGGTTGCGGTTTGTTCGCTTGTGGCGTCGAATGATGAGCGAGTGATTGGGTTCTTGGTCGTGGGGTTAGTGAACACCGGGTAACTCCCACTGGGGCGGGGCGGGCCGGCTAGTGGGAGATGAGGCGATATTGACGCTCGTGCGTGTCTTTCCGTTACCCTGACTGCTCCGTTGCCCCCTCTTTCACCCACATTTTGCCATTCGACGTGTTATTGTGGAGTTTATGCGTCCAGGACATATCAACCATGAAAATGGCATTATTTATTTTTCACGTTTGTGATTCATTAGTTGCCTGAAATTTTATATCGGGTCGGTCGACTCCTCGGAGGATTGAGGCAATGCACAAGACGGAAGGCGGCGGCGAGCTCGAGGGTTGATAGTGCGGGTTATAGAGCCTTTTCGTATTTAATTCCCTATTGGATTAGATGGAGCCATTGTCGGAGGTGGGACGGCGTAACGAGCAACAATGAGGCATGTCGTCGCAACTGGAGGAGAGGAATGGAGGCGAGCTCGACGAGAACGACTGGAGGATGACATGATCGGCTTGGGGGGGGGGGACGCGCGCTTCGGTTTGTGGAAGAATAACGGTTGGAGGAAGAAGAAGATGATCCAACCATTCGATTTTTATCTAAGGGCTCGGAGCGGCTCCTTGCAAATCGACTGACTCGAATCTTTTTTGAGGTAACCGTGAAATAGGCGGTCATTTTATTTTTTTTCTGTGGAGTGTTGTATGAAGAGGTAGGTTTTAAATTCTTAACCATTGTAACTAGGCTAGAAGAAGTAGGTTCTAAATCGGGCAATCGATTCCATGGAACAGATAGGCGGCACATGAGGCCGAAGACGGAGGCGGGCTCAACGGTTGACAATGCGGGTGGGGGAGCCTTCTGTGTTTAAATCCCGGACGGATTAGATGGAGTCCTCGTCGGAGGCGGGGACGCCGTAAGAATAAGCAATGAGGCATGTCGTCGCAACCGGGGGAGAGGAAGGAAGGTGATCCTGGGGCGAGCGGCTGGAGGATGACATGATGCCTGGGAGAGAGAAGGTGTGCGCTATGGTACGATCAAGAATAGCAGTTGGAGGAAGAAGAAGATAATCCAACCATTCGATTTTTATCTAACGGCTCAAAGCGGTTCCTTGCAGATGGACTAACTCAAATTGGTTTTTGAGGCAATTGTTAAATAGGCAGTCCCTTTATTTATTTTTTCTCATGTAGTGTTGTAGGAAGAGGTAGGTTTCAAATCCTTAACCATGGTAACTAGGTTGGAAGAAACATGTTACAAATCGGGTCAGTCGATTCTATGGAACAAAGAGGCGAGGCGGACGCTAAAGACAGAGGTGGGTGGTGAGGGAGCTTTCTTTTATTTAAATTCCCGGTTGGATTAGACGGAGCCCTCGCTAGAGGCGGGGACGACATAAAGAGAAACAGGGAGGCATGTCATTGCAACCGGAGGAGAGGAAGGGAGGCGACCCCAAGACGAACGACCATAGGAGGCGAGGTTCGGGGTTGGACAGAGAACCGTGTGCACTATGGTTTGAGGAAGAATAACGGTTGGAGGAGGAAGATGATAATCTAACCATTCAAATTTTAACTAACGCCTCAAAGCGGTCCCTTGCAAATGGACTAACTCGAATTGGTTTTTGAGGTAACTGTCAAATAGGCGGTCCCTTTATTATTTTTTCTCGTCGAGTGTTGTAGGAAGAGGTAGGTTTTAAATCCTTAACTATGGTAACTACGATGGAAGAAGTAGGTTATAAATCGGGCCAGTCCATTGTGTGGAACAAAGAGGCGAGGTGTGAGGCTAAAGACAGAGGTGGGTGGTGAGTGGGCTTTTCTGTATTTAAATTCCCGGTCGGATTAGACGGAGCCCTTGCTAGAGGTTGGGACAACGTAACGAGAAACAGGGAGGCGTGTCATCGCAGCCAGACGGGAGGAAGGGAGGCGACCCCAAGGCGAACGACTAGAGGAGGAGAGGTTCGGGGTTGGAGAGTGAACCGTGTGCTCTACGGTTTGAGGAAGAATAACAGTTGGAGGAGGAATATGATAATCTAACCATTCAAATTTTAACTAACGGCTCAAAGCGGTCCCTTGCAAATGGACTAACTCGAATTGGTTTTTGAGGTAACTGTCAAATAGGCGGTCCCTTTATTATTTTTTCTCATCGAGTGTTGTAGGAAGAGGTAGGTTTTAAATCCTTAACTATGGTAACTACGATGGAAGAAGTAGGTTATAAATCGGGTCAGTCCATTATGTGGAACAAAGAGGCGAGGCGCGAGGCTAAAGACAGAGGTGGGTGGTGAGTGGGCTTTTCTGTATTTAAATTCCCGGTCGGATTAGACGGAGCCCTTGCTAGAGGTGGGGACAACGTAACGAGAAACAGGGAGGCGTGTCATCGCAGCCAGACGGGGGGAAGGGAGGCAACCCCAAGGAACGACTAGAGGAGGAGAGGTTCGGGGTTGGAGAGTGAACCATGTGCACCGCGGTTTGAGGAAGAATAACGGTTGGAGGAAGAAGATAATAATCCAACCATTCATTTTTTATCTAACGGCTCAAAGCGGACTCTTGCAAATCGACTCGCTCGAATCTTTTTTGAGGTAATTATCAATTTGGCATTCCCTTTATTTATTTTCCTTGCGGAGTGTTGTAGGAAAGATAGGTTTTAAATCCTTAACCATGGACCTATGCTAGAAGAAGTAGTTTCTAAATTGGGTCAGCCGATTCTGTAGAACAGAGAGGCAGCACACAAGGCCGAAGATCGAGGTAAGCTTGAAGGTTGACAATGCGCATGGGGGAGCCTCTTTGTGTTTAATTCCCGATCAAATTAGATGGAGTCCTCGTGGAAGGGGGGAGGGCAGCATAACGAGCAAAAGTGAGTCGTATTGTCGCATCCAGAGGAGAGGAAGGGAGTCGAGCCTGAGGTAAACAGCTGGAGTATGATACGATCGACTGGGAAAGAGAAGGTGTGTCTTGCGGTTTGAGGAAGAAGAAGATAATCCAACAATTCATTTTTTATCTAAGGACTCAGAGTGGTCCCTTGCAAACCGAGTGCTCAAATATTTTTTGAGGTAACTATCAAATAGGTGGTTCCTTTTATTTATTATTCCTCGTGGAGTGTTGTAGCAATAGGTAGGTTTTAAATCCTTCACCATGGTAACTACACTGGAAGAACTAGGTTCTAAATCGGGTCAGAGTGGCGGCGCACGAGGCCAAAGCGTAGGCGGGCTTGGGGGTTGAAAATGCTGGTGGGGGGAGCCTTTTTGCATTTATTTCCCGGTCGGATTAGATGGATCCATCTCCATAGGCGAGGACGTCGTAACAAGCAACAGTGAGGCGTGTCGTCGCAACCAGACAAGAGGAAGGGAGGCTAGCCCGAGGTGAACCACTGGAAGATTAGATATTCGGGATGGGTGAGAGAATGTGATCGTTGCGAACCACAGTTTGAGGAATAATAATAGTTGGAGAAAGACGAAAATAATCAAATCATTCAATTGTTAAGCGGGCAAACACATTTCACAAGATAATCTCCCCCTCCCAACTACCCCTCACGGGCCACCTCTTCTCGCCTCTGTTGCCCAACGTCGCCGTGATAGCCATCGCCAGTCCCAATTCCAATGGGAATGGAACCACATGCCCCCTCTGCAACCCTGCTGGCCACTCCCGTTGACGCTACATCATCGGGGTCGACCCACGCGTCATCCATGGGCCAAGGAAGTGGATCATGACAAAGGTCATGGTGGAGATGGCCACAACATCATTAAAGGCACGTGGCAAGGCCATGTCAGCCTCGAAGACGATCGT